GACATTAGCATGAGAGTCCGGAAACGATTCCCCACCATCGAAACGCTCGTTGCTGCTGGTACGTTTCCATTTTTCGTTTTTTTTTTTCTTTCAAAAATCATATTCCGAACTTTGTTTCAAAATCATATCCCGAACAAAACCAAAAATCATATCCAGAACTTTTGATTCGTGCGGCTTACTAAGCCTTTCTGAAAACCGGTGAGATCTATCTTCAGAATAGAAAATCTCACTCAAGCTACGTTTAAAGAACGATACATGTGTGAAGTGGTTATGGCGGATAGCAACTAAGAGCAGGTGGTCCGCAGTAAGGGGACCTTTTATAGCTGCTCTCGACGTATCGCTGCATGTTGTTGTACCGAAAGTTCCACGGGATGGTTCCGAGTGGTCCTGGTGATATTATGGGTTATCCGGCGTGCACGAATACTCGACCCCCTACGTTGCCGTGCTTTTTCGTTATAATAAATGATTTTCCAGGTTTTATGATGGAACACGAAAAGGAAAAATATGATGAGATACAGTATCGCTATGCTAAGTACTGGATGCCGTTCCAGTGGGCATTGTCGCTTTGTCAGGAAGCTCGGAACCAACAAAAAATTTCCAGCGATTTCTTGCTGGAAAAGGTTGGAGAGGTACGCTTGGTTTTTTTTTTTTCCCGGCTGCTAGTTTCGTTTTACATACACAGCACAACTAAAATAATTGTAAAAATTGCTGCTTCTGTTGGAATAAAAAAGCAATTGATGCACATCAGAGCACCAGCACAATTTCACGTTTTCTAGCTATCACTATTGTGAGTGACCAGTTAGTGGCCATACCAAGGCATACAGGGCTTCATCCTCATAACATTTTAATGTTGTCGAGGTTCTAGATCCTTGGCTTGTTTATTTTTTGCAACCATTGGTGTAAGCAGGAGGCAATGAGTTACCCCCTTTATACAACAGCATAAAGTTCAAAACTTTTCCACTGCAAACTCCCCGCGCTTTTAATTTTCAACTTTGCTCGAATTCGGCTTGACTTTCAAGCAAAAAGGATTGATTTCAGGTTATGTACCACAGTTTATTTGAACGAAAAATCTTCTTCCATATTTTTTTTGGTTTCCAAAATTTAGTATTTCTTCGTAGATCAGGCAAACGGCTAAGGAATTGCTTCCCAATTAGTTCAACAGTTGAGAATCATAGTTGTTGTTATGGCAGTGGTCATTAGTCACCTTTGGTAGTTTCTGACCACTATACGGTGCTGTATGCTGCAGGAAATTAAAATATTCCGTACGAATATGGCCATTTTATGTAATTTCGATTGGGTGCCGCTGCCCATCATGTATCCGCAGTTAATTGTCTTAGCCGTTCACACATATTTTCTCGTTGCCGCCGTCGCCAGGCAATTCATTATCAGTGAAGAAGCCTTGAATAAGACGCCGGTTCGTTTTCTCTTTTTTTTCAATGAAAGATTTCTCATCAAAATTTACTTTCTTCGCAAGGGCAGTGCTTTCTCAAAAAATGTATCAGTGCGTTCTATGTACCGCAGATTTAGTGTTTATATGTAATAACACTACCTTCCATATCGAATCAGTTTTCCGCAAGAGTTCGCAAAACATTAATAGAATTTTCCAGCAAATTTTGGCAATCCTGAAACTGAATGTAACCTTGCTTGTTATTCTCACTTTTATATGCGATTTCCTTCCCACCACCCATAAGTCGGTTTTTGGATAGGACTTGATCTTTAAACGTTGTGATGTGGAAAAACGTAGATGACACGTGCTCACTTCAACCACTCGTTATTCCTACTTCATGACAATCGAAATGCCGTTCACTGTGTTATTATTCTTGTTGCTCTTGCTTTTTTGCGGTATTTTTTTTTATCCGTTTCAGACGGATATTTATTTTCCGTTTATGACAGTGGTACAATTTGTTTTCTACATGGGTTGGCTAAAAGTGGCAGAAGCGATGTTGAATCCGTTTGGTGAAGATGATGATGATTTTGAATGCAATTTCCTCCTTGATAAAAATCTTACTGTAAGTTTTCATCTGCGTTCATTGAGACGTTATATTTAAAAATACGTAGAAGAAACGTACCGGTATTTTGTGATATTATTGCTGTTCTTAAGAAACCAAGATAAGGTAATACAGATGAAAGAAAGATAGTAAAGGTGTGTGAGATATTAATAATATAAATAAAAAATAAAAATAGTACAGCGGAATGTGCAGTGAAATTAATGTAACGCTAAATGTAAAGGATAATAAAGAAGACTTGCCGGAGCATTATTTCATAAACATTATTTAGTTTTTTTTTTCTTTCTATTCGGTAAGTGCTAACTAATATCAGGTTGGAACGATTCATGCGGTGTATGAGGCGCTCCTTCACGGAATATGTCCCTAATACCAGCGCGGTTGGAACAATTTTTTAAAATCCGGGACAAAATTCGAAAATGTCAGAAGCGTTGAACTGACTGGTAATTTTCAAAGAGCAATGGTTCAGAGCACGTTTTTATTCAGATTGGTCTCACAATTGTCGATGCTGGTTATAACAAGACACCAGCTCTGCTCAAAGATGTCTTCTGGAGCGAAAAGCAAATCGAACCACTGTATTCGGCGCAGTCCGCTCGAGAGGAGCATCGCATCTCCGGTGTTACTGGATCAACCGCTAACGTCAAGTATCAGAGCAACACTTCCTACAAACTCTTTCACATACTGGATCAAAAAAACTTTGGTCCTCAAAATTTCAAGTTCCGCAAGCTTATATGCACCTCATATCTGTGTTTGCATAATCAAGCAAAAAACTTGCAGATTCGAGGAAAAAGATGGATTGATTAAAATGCAGCCGCTATCAGAAGAAGCGGAAAATCGTCATTTACTGTCCGGGCCTTTTGGAATTTTGCGTAGCTCTCTGCGGTTCAGTTCGCGCGGTGAAAGGTAAGTTCACCGGAAGTCAAAAATTATTTAAAATGTCGATGAGGGATCTTCAACTGAATGTTACCGGCTAACCCAGTCCGTTAGGGATTTGTTTTTCTATGTTATCCCACCTCTGCTCTAATAGCCGTATTACTTTAGCTCACGGTTGGATTGCATAAACGTCTGTTTTGTCACTGGACTGCAATTACCTGCTAATGTTTTGACTCAGGTCAAGTAAGAGTGCTCCGATCTTTCCCGATAAAATAGCGAGGAGATTTTGAGCTCTGGAATTAAGTTGCGTATGTGCGCATTTATTTTTATCTTTGTAGAGGCGGTCGCCGAACCAGTCTTATCAATGCAGTACGTGATAAATTTGGCAGGTATGCAAGTTTGATTTAAGGCCGCTCAGTATACTGTTTCTTTTTAAAAGCTGTATGAATCGTGTAAAAAGAAACTATTCCAATCCAAAAGTGGTACTAATGGCTGATTTGGTCACAAGAGTTGATAATTATAGAGATGTTAATTTTGACATTAAAAAAATATAAAATTAGATTAAATAAACCCACTACAGGTCAATGAGCCATTCTTACTTTAATACGAGCCTGCACCATGGCGACAGCAATCGCAAAAATGACAGTGCCAACGAATTATCCGGTATGGAAAGGGGCTACTCAAAAGGAGAAAACGACGGTGAAAGTAGGCGCAACAGTTTAAGCCGTGTTTTGGAGGCTATCGTCAGTGAATCGAATTCGTACAGTAACCCTGCCATCGTCGTTACAGGTTCGTGCAGTAATTTTGAACGAGGGCGTAAAATAGTTTTTCAAAAAATATACTCTGCTTTCTCAAACACTCGTGCTTCGGGAACAAATAACCAGAAAATATTAGTTAAGCAACTGAAAAAGTAGATGATTTTTGATTACTAGATTTTAAAACTTTATGTTATTATCATGCGGAAGATCAGCTGACTCGTCCAAATGGCGACCAGGCGATTTTTAATTTAAAATGCTTGTCTTTTTCGTCATTCATGTGATATG